CAGGTGGTGGCGGAGAGGGGAAGAGAAATGCCGCCGGGGGTGGCGGAGAGGGGAAGAGAAACGACGCCGGAGGTGGAGATTTAAAGAAGCTTTGCGTAGGAGGTGGCGGAGAGGGGAAGAGAAATGCTGCCGGTGGTGGAGATTTAAAGAAGCTTCGCGTAGGTGGCGGGGAGGTGAAGAGGAACGCCGCTGGAGGGGGCGGAGAAGTGAAGAGGAAGGCAGATAGAGATCTATGAGAATGCTTCAGATCGGGCCATGAGTCAGCAATGGCAAGAAATGGATGAGAGAAATGTGGAAAAATGAATAGCAGAGAGAACCCTAAAAAATTCATTTTTTTGTTCTTTTTTTTTATTTTTTTTTTATATGTTTGGTGATTATGAAGATCCACTGCCAATCTCAAAAAATTTATAAGAATAAGGCACATTTTCAAAATAGTGAATACTAAATTTGTCCTTTAAAAAAATAGTAAAAAAAAACAAAAAAAATTAAATTAAAAAAAAATACTCTAAAGTTTCAATAATACAATTAAATTTTTCTTAGAGTTAAAAATTGCAATTAAATTTAAAAAAAAAATTAAAAATAGAATTATAATTAGTTAGGGATAGAAATTATTAATATTTTGTTTTAAAAAAAGTACCTTTAAATTTTCATAAAAGTTTCGTACATACATTTAACTTTTACTAATTTCAATATAATTGAGTAATGGGGAGAGATATTTGGGGAAGGAATGGTAAAGAATGGTAAGGATGGAGAGTTTGATGAAGTTTAAGTGTAACTAATTTTAAGTTAAATGAAAATATTTTTATTTTAGAATTAAAATTAAAATTAGATGAATTTCTAAAATAGAAGAGATTGAAATGGTTAGATATTTTTTTTATAGAGCATAATTAGTTTCTACAAATCATTTGTTACGAATAAATTAGGAAAACTCAACCAAAACAATATCATTTATTAATATTTTTCTAAATTAGTTGTTCACTAGGGTTTATATATAGGTGAGATTTAGAGGTAGAATATCAGTGTGACGACAAAATGGGTTTGCAAAAAATGTCAATATGGTTTATATCGTTTTGTTGATCTCTCCACTAATGTCTCATCCATTTTCCAAACTCTCTCTCCCAACCATGTCACCTCTCTCCCACACTCCTCTCCACAAGTCTTCCGATCTAGCCTATAGAAAGACCACTTACCTGATTAGCTTAAGTTGTCATGAATTTAATCCTTAATAAACGTTTGATTCTGTCTTTTGAAATCCAAGTTCATCTATGTGCGCTCATGACGTAAGTTTCAAGTTCGAACTTTCATGTAACAAGTTTACAGACAGAGTTAACCATTTTTTTAGAAGATATAAGCTATTGTTATATAAAAGAATTTGATGAATTTATTTTTAGATATAAGCTAGGGTCGTATAAAAGAATTTGATGAATTTATTTTATGTAGAGTATTATCTGCTTCCTAGTCATCCCATATTTCAAAATTTAATTATTTTTCCATCCTTTATCCTCCATAATTCTTGTTCCCAGAAGCAGGTTGTGTTTGGCAGTATATATAAAAAATAGGATTAAAATTTGAAAATTTAACCATAACAATTTGATAAAAATAATAATAATTATAATTTATTTTATAAAATTGCATAATTTAAAATGGTTTTAATAGACATTTATTTAGCATGCATTTTCTAAGCATTTAATGTGATATACAAGAATTTTAACCATCACATTCTCGATGGAACTTATTAAATATTAGTCACCTTTAAATCAATTTTAAAAAATATGGGACCCATGTTAATTAATTTGTGGATTACTAAAGCAAATAGTGACTAAAAAAAGAAGTTTTTCTAAAATAAAATTGATGAGAATAATTAGATATATTTCTTGGGAGGCATAATTAGTTTCCAAAAAATTATTGATTACTATTAGGAAAACTCTTCAAACAAAAAATATCATTATAGATAGTAAAAATCTCATCCAACAAAAAATATCATTATATAGACAGTAAATTTTTTAAACATGGAAATATATTTACCGACCGCTATTACTACATTTCTAAATTAGTTGTTCAAACTTGTGATTTATAGTTAGAATACTTGTGTGAAGACAAAATGGGCTTGCTTAAAAATGTTGATATGGTTTCTCCCTTCTTGTTGATCTCTCTAGTTGCTATTTTGTCCAATCTCAATGGTCTCGAGGCAAAGTGGGATGAGGGTGGAATTGTGTTTTCTTTGGGTCTCAAAAGACTAGTACCAACCGGACCAAATCCAGCAACATCTCCTGAAAGCCCTCCCTCAAGTTTAGGCACCAAAAGGCTTGTCCCAACAGGACCAAATCCAGCAACATCTCCCGAAGCGCCACCATTGGGTCTAGGCACTAAGAGGCGTGTCCCAACTGGCCCAAATCCAGCAACATCTCCTGAAAGCTCTCCCTCAAGTTTAGGCACCAAAAGGCGTGCCCCAACTGGACCAAATCCAGCAACATCTCCCGAAACGCCTCCGTTGGGTCTAGGCACGAAGAGGCGTGTCCCAACTGGCCCGAATCCAGCAACATCCCCTGAAAGCCCTCCCTCAAGTTTAGGCACCAAAAGGTATGTCCCAACTGGACCAAATCCAGCAACATCTCCCGAAACGCCACCATTGGGTCTTGGCACTAAGTGGCATGTCCCAACTGGACCAAATCCTGCAACATCTCCTGAAACGCCACCATTGGGTCTTGGCACTAAGAGGCGTGTACCAACTAGCCTAAATCCAGCAACATCTCCCGAAACGCCTCCATTGGGTCTAGGCACGATGAAGCGTGTCCCAACTGGCCCAAATCCAGCAACATCTCTTGAAATCCCTCCCTCAAGTTTAGGCACCAAAAGGCGTGTCCCAACTAGGCCAAATCCAGCAATATCTCCCGAAACGCCTCTATTGGGTCTAGGCACGAAGAGGCGTGTCCCAACTGGCCCAAATCCAGCAACATCTCTTGAAATCCCTCCCTCAAGTTTAGGCACCAAAAGGCGTGTCCCAATTGGACCAAATCCAGCAACATCTTCCGAAACGCCTCCATTGGGTCTAGGCACGAAGAGGCGTGTCCCAACTGGCCCAAATCCAGCAACATCTCCTGAAAGCCCTCCTTTAAATTGATTATGAGGCCTCGTGATAGTAACAAGTTTAATTAGGGTCTCTAAAGATGTATTACAATGAGGTCTCTAATGTTCTATCTTATATCTAATGAGATGAACCACCTTGATGACAAGGGACTTTAATAATGGACGTGAAAAAATAATTTAGTTTCAGAAACTTTTATAATCTAAAACTTTTATAATAAGATTTCTTTACCTTTTAGTCAAAAGCTACGCTACCCACAAAGATATAATTTTAATTTCTACATTATTGATTAACGTTATATAAGTTAACAATCATTTTATATTTGTAATTATTTTGTAATAATTTGAAACAAAACTTTTCTCTCATTTGTTTTAATTAAATGGTATTTTTATCTCTTACTTTACTTTTCTTTCCTTTTCCTTTCTTTTTGTTTGTTTTCAATTTCATCTTTTGGGTCACGATCCGACTTTCGAAGCCTCAAAAATCGGGTCGTGACATAAATATTAAAAAACATTGGCATAAATATGAAAGTTTATACCAAATTCATGTGACTTTGCACATCTTCAAATGATATAATGTTAGTTAGTGAGACTCTAGCTTTTCTGCCAAAATTTAATGGGTAAAAAAACTTGACAGCACATAAATTACAATTTCTACCACCTAGTTTTAATTTTACTTTCATATATAACTAATATACCATTTTTATATTGTACTAGTATAGACTTTTAAAAATGAATACCAAAAAGAATTATCGATAGAATAATATTAAATAGGATAGATTTATCTATAACGACCCGATTTTCGAGGCTTCGAAAAATCGAATCGTGACTAAGAAGACGAAATCGAAAACAAATAAAAATTTAAAAGAAATAAAATAGGGGATGAAAATCTGATAAAATTTAAATCAAGAAAAATGAGTCAACGACACCAAAATTAAATACAAAATTAAAGTCAAA